GCCTTTCAATCTCCTCTCCCTAGATGGGCCCCCACTGTCGTATAAGGCCAGATTTCCCTGGTCATTACTGGCAAGTCACTGAGAATCTCTCACCTCACTGTATGCACGATAATCAGATCAAACCTGGAATTACCGTCATTAGAAATATTGCAGGAGGCGAATCATAAGGAAACGACCTCGTGAATAATAGCCTACACTGCCAATGAGAGTTGTAATTGTAAATCTGATTCTACCCCTCAACCTCATGCTGTAATGAGCACCCGGCATTGTTTAAATGACTCAAATGAAATTGATGCCGATTCACCAAGCATGAATGACAGCTCATATGAAGATGTGTGCTGCGAATGAGATATGATGGGTGTGTGTGTGTGTGTGTGTGTGTGTGTGCACATTTTGGTTGTGTGAGTCTGCATGTGCGGATGGCAGCGGCCATTGAATGGGGTGTTTAACAGTGGTATTAATAATCTCCATGATCTATGAGCTCGTCTGATGTCACTCAGCCATTAGAGAGACAGTCTCTCTGTGTTCTCCACACCTCGTTTCCTCCCCCTTGCCCGTGTCGGCCTCCCAAAATAATTGTGTGTTAATGGGTGAGGAGGAGGGGTAGGAGGGGTGCGTATGAGGGGGATTAGAGCCTGAGCAGGGAGGATAGAAGGATTATCGGGGAGATGGGTCACTGTTAACAGAGGAGATGATGAGGTGTGATGACTGACCCTTCCCAGTCACAGAGACAGTGGAGGAGAAATGTGGCCATAATTATATGACAAACATTGTGTTGGAAGAAACCATGCAAAATAAACAAAGAAAGTGGTAGGAAAGAGACCTTCTAGGACAGGATAGATGTGAGTGGGTGATAATGAGAGAGTAAAAAGTAATAGTTTGCCTGTATTCCTGTGAGATGGGGAGATCCAAAGCCAGGTGAGGTACCCTAAAGCCATTTACAGGTCCTAATCTGGGTGGAATGAGCCGTGAGAGGAAGAAGGAACTAAAGTACACTGACTAACAGGTCTCCCCTGACCCCTTTCCAACTCCCACTCTCCCACCACTACTTTTCCTCTCCCTCGTTTCCTCTCTCTTTCCAACCCTGCTTTCCACCACTTCCATCTACAAAACAAAGTTGTCTGGCATTGACGGAACCCTAGAGGCTGTCAGCGAGGAAAGGTGGAGTCACCCTCAGCCAAGAGAAAGAGGTAAGAAGGCGAATGAGGGAGAGAGAGAGAGAGAAAGGAAAGAGGGGGAGTGAGGAGATTGAAGCGTTTCTAATTTAAATAAACCCTTTGGCAGACTGAAACTGGCAGCAAGCTTCCCCTTTGCTTGCAAGGAAAAGAGGGAGAAGAAAGGAAAAGGGGAAAAGAGGTAGGGCAAAAGGAAAGGAGAGATAGATAGATGGATATAGAGATGTCTCCATGCTGGTTTGCTTATCCGCATGGGAGAGTTAGAGGCCAGAGGATGGGGAATGGGGGAATATAGAGAGTGAAGTGGAATAAGATAGGGAGCTAGATGGAGGAGAAAGAGAGGGGACACAAATAATGGGGAAAAACACTGACAAGCTACAGGGGTTAAGGGAGGGGAGAATAGGAAAGAGCTGTGAAAGTTAGGTAATAGAGAATTGTGTGTGTGAATAGATAGAGGTGTGATCCATCTATTGGGAAGAGTTCATCCATCCTCCCCCTGTGTAAGAAACACACACACACACACACACACACACACACACACACAAAGAGAGAAAGCAAAAGAAAGTGAAACAGGGTCTCTCAGCAGTGGGTCCGATCAGTCTCATCTCATCAAAACTTGTCTGAAGTTTTTTGGATGGATCCCAGCTCCAATCTACTTGAGCCACCACGCTCTTCTCCGTCACACTGTCTCCCCCTGTCTGTCCCTTCGGCTCGTCACAGCAGCGGCCTGCTCACCGGGCTATACACTCCTAATAGGCTGCCATGGAGAGAGGAGCTGCAGCAATAGAGGTTGTAATCTAAAGTCTCAGTACTGAACGCCAGAGGATGCCCATTTTGTTTGTCTGCTGGTTGTTTTGTTGGATGGGTAAGAGGTGACAACAGGCAAACCATATAGCTTGCAGATTCAGAGAGGAGAAGTTGCTCCCGAAACACTGAAGAACTACAAAACAACAATAAATACAACAAAAAAACATAATCAGGGGGGTGTGGAGGGTAAATCTAGAGAGTCGGCACATCATTTTTATCTGGAGATGAGTTTATTGAAATTTTAAGTGTATGAGGCATCAAGCTAATGAAAATGTAATTATATACAATACAGATATTTTAAGGGAAGCAAATGTATTTGTCACATGTCGTCTGAAGGTCATCTATAGCCCATTTTTATTTCCCACCACATCACTTAACATAATGCTTGATTAAGTACCATGCTCATATGCATATAGACCGGCTATTATAGGTATATTACCGAGTCAACAAAAGGAATCAAGCCTCAACACGCCTGTTGACAAAAAAATGACAAGATGCGATTACACAGTCTCTGGATTAAAGGTGCGCGTGTGTGTGCGTAAAGGCGCGACACGCATGTTGTGTATAGGCCCACAGGTAGGGGCAAAGTCTATAGGATGGATGGAGAAAGGGGAGAGAGAGAGAGAGAGAGAGAGAGAGAGAGAGAGAGAGGCGCGGAGGTGGGTGGAGGGGTGGAGTGGGGAGGGGGGAGACTCCCGACCCCCTCCTTCAAACATACACACCGAGAACTGGCTCCGGCTCCGGCTTCGCTGGAGTGGAGAACCATAAATCTTCATATAGCGGCTGTTTTGATTAATGCAGCCGAGTCGAGCTAGGGGGCTGGACCTATCCCATTACGGCCTAATGGAAGATGGAGCGGCGCTGTCTCCACCACTAGGCCCCTGTCATTTGTTCCACTTTGCAGTCCATTTGGCCGAGAGACTACAAGCCACTCCATCAAAAATATTTTCAGAGTTAATTTCCGCCCGCTTAATTCGCCTTGATTCGGATTGCGTATCGAATGGCAGGATCGATTTTCGCCTGGCGTCTAAATTAAATAAAAGAGAGGGGGGTATACTTTAAGTCTGCGTTTTCTTTCTTTTCTCTTTTCCATTCCATTCTTCCACCTCTTTTCCAGACATCCTTTACCGTGGGCCAGCTCATTCTTTTTTTACGATGCATCTCATTTCCTCCTTTTTCTCAGATTTTGATAGACCCATGTTTGCAGAGGAGGAGGAGGAGGAGGAGGCACAAATCTGATTGTAGTTACAGATGAAGGGAAACCTATTGAAAGAGGGACTCAGGTGGATAGATTTATGGATTTGTCATAAATTACAAACAGACACATAAAGACTTTGGACATGAGGGGAACACCTTTTTATGACAGGTAGGTTGGAAAAGAAAGAGAAAGAGAAAAAGATAAAGATCCTATATCCTCACATGACAGCTCCACAATGCGTAGATCCTAAAGAATACATTTGGAAAACATGGGAGTGAAGAAAAATTGAACAGGCCTACACAGGAAAAGTGGGGTAAATTAGGGGCATCGGGGTATTGAGGGGGCGAAAAATAATAGGAGGGGGGAGCGGGGGGACGTACCAAAAAAGAAATGAAAAGAGGCAAAAAGCACAGTGACAAATTGGTCGAGTGTGTCGCGAATTCCCTTTTAGATTTAAAGCCGCGTGTAGCCTATCGTCATATCTTTCCAGAGTAATTTATTTTCTCATTTCTCTCTCTCTCTCTCTCTCTCTCCCCTCACTACCCCTCTCTCTCTCTGTGTGTGAATTTATCTGGTAGTCACGTGGACGGGGGGGAGAAAAAAAGTCAATAAAAGTCTCTGGCGACAACTGTTTCCCCCGTCGGTCTCTTGTCTCCTTCTTGCATTATCTCTCCTGCTTTGCTTTCTATTTGTTTATGCGCTGAAGCTGTTTTGCTCCTCCCCATTTCCTCCTCCATCGGCCGTGTTTCCTGTTTTAGATCCTCTCTCATATCATAGGACTACAAGCTATACCTACTCCTCTCCAGAGAGGCCTATTGATTTTATTCTCCCACTAACAGCGAGCCCCACACTTTGAAATTACAAAATCAGGAAGCTGTAGGATCCATCTCTTGTATCCAGCTCAGAAATGTTTCGATAAGCGTCAGAAAGTTCTCAGAGGCTTACAAGTTGGAGATGAAGGCCAGTGAGCTTTGGCTCGGAGACAAGAAGCCACTTGTAGACTGCTTAAATCAACAAAAGGAATTAATTTTGAATTAATCTGATTTTATTAGACTCTGCAGAATCCATGAGACCATCTATGGGCCTAACAGGCAGGTAAAGACAATGAAGGGAGGAAGGAATTAAGAACGGGAAGATCATACAACATATGTGCACTTAGGAAGACCTGACTGAGTAATAAATCCTGAAATCTGGGTTCCACACTCAGCACAGCCAGTGTTTCCTCTACCATTCAAAAACCACACATGATATACCCATCACAATCTGGGCAGATATTGACCTGAATATACCTATATTGAAAACATGGAAATGATTGATAGTTTAATAACTGACAATATTATTCTTGTGCAGCTAGTCCAAAAAAATCTATACAATTGAAACTTACTATAATGCCACAATAGCGTACAATGACCAAAATACCAGTTGAGATACTCTCATACAGTGGTGGGAGAAGTACTCAGATAGTTTAGGAAAAGAAGCACAAGAAGTAGACCATTACCAGTGAAAGTCTTGCATACTTTTACTTGAGTAAAAAATGCAATATGTACTTCTACTACTCATTATGCAAGCAGAATGGCTCCTGTGCTATTTTCTTATATATGCTCGGATTGTTATTACTGTGATAGAAATACACTGATCTGTTTGTTATATTCTGATGCCAATACAACTGATAATACTTTTAGATTGACCAGTTTATTTTCCCACAAAAAAAACATCAATGTTTAGAGAGCCTTCAATGTTTGCATATTTTAAAAATAACTGAATAATGCCAACTTGTGGGGCAGCCGATGCACAGTATGTAGAGTGGGTCGTCCACTAACCGCAGGGTTGACAGTTTGATTCCCTGTCCATGCGTCAAAGTGTCCTTGAGCAAGCCACTGAACCTCAAGTTGCTCCCCGGGTGTCCATGGTTTCGCACTGCTCCTAGTGTATATGGGTCAAATGCAGAGGACACATTTAGTTTTCATGTATGCAAAAGCTATGAAATGACAATAAAGGCTAAAGGCTGAAAGGCTGTAGCCTTGATTCTTCTCCTTAAAACAATATAATATAGATTATTTTTTAAATATATGGGTTTATTAACATCACATCTCTCCTTCTCACCTTGGCAAGCCTGTGTAGTAGAATTACTTTATTACAGACCTCTGATGGAGGACTGAATAATTGAGGCAGGTCCTGTGTGTGTGTGTGTGTGTGTGTGTGTGTGTGTGTGTGTGTGTGTGTGTGTGTGTGTGTGTGTATATATATATATATTTATATATATAAAGTCTTGTCATGCTGCCTATATACATGAAGGTCATATAGACCAAAACATTGTGTAAACATACAATATTTTTTTCAGCAGTAAAGAGAGTGTGTCCTTTTACCTTTTTCTTTTTTGAAGAACCAATCCCCTTACATGGGAGGCCAGCTCCACCAGGTGAGCTACAAGAGCACTGAGTATAAACAGCTTTTTAATGTTGTACCTGGTCGAAGTAGAGTTAATTTAAGCAATATCGTATCAGAGTTAGACCGATATTCTAGATCTGTATGAGCGCATATGTCGACCAACAACAAACTGCAGTACGAAATGCCAAAGATGCGTTTGCAATAATACAAAAACAGTGACGCCATTACATAGTTTGCCACCAGAGAGCACTGACAACTTTATTTTTAACTAAAAAATGCCCCACTTAGCACATATCTTGGTTACAGTGCTTAAATAACACTAATTTATATATTAGTTAATATCATTTATAAATTGACGAATGACTAAGACTAAGACAAATATAATTTTGTATATTCAGAACTCTTAATTATCTATATTGATCTAAAAAATCCTCAAACTCTACAAAAGAAAAAAATTAAAGTACAAGTACCCTAGAATTGTACTATAATAATAACATTATACTAAAACTATATTTACAATCAGATATGTGAGGCAACAACTACGACACCATGTACAACAGCTTACAGCCTATGCTAGTCGAGCTGAAGAGGTTGATAAAACTGAAGGGTCTCTGTGCTCTGGGTATCCTTGGGGGGTTTACCCTTCCACGGCAAACAGGACTGATGGCCGACCCACCCGGCAATATGACTTGTTCACTCAGCCCCTCAAATATCAGTGTCTCTATTTCAGTCGCCACATCTGTTATTGTCTGATTCTTAAGAAAAAAGTGGCTGAGCAGGGTATAATGAAATCAAAGCCCAACACACACAGTCAAGAAGCCCCTGGTAAGAAACACACTGTGTCAATATTAATCTTTCTGACAGAAAGTCGAAATATGGCATCTGTCACACATCATCTTCCCTCTCTCCTGTCTTTCTGCAGAGTGGAAAAAGATGGAGAGGAGGTGCTTTTGGTGGGAGTGAAGAGGGGGAAGTTGTTGGAAATTGAGGACATGGACCGGAAAGGGCAAAGGACTCTGGGATTTTCAAGAAATATTTAGTTGTTGTTTTGTCTCCTTGCATTTGGTGTGGTATGCATTGGAAACATTCAAACTGTTAGTAAAATAAAGTTTTAAATGATGGCATGTCAAGGGCACTACTAACAAAATATATTTATTACAAAGTCCTGGATTAATACTGGAGCAGATGTCTGAGAACTGGACTAAATTGAAATTATGTAATAGCTCAAAGAATATATGTTGCAGGTTTAATGTCAATCTTTGTGACCATTTTCTTTGACTAAGCCTCAAAAAAGCTAAACTGATTTCCCTGCCACTGGGAGTGAGCCAATAATCAATACACAGTGATTACAGTATGTATCTCAGTAATTAAATACGTCTTGTGCATTGCTGTTGGCTGCAGCTTCACTTTTGATACTACCAATGGATACTGGATTTAAACTGATCTGCCCCTTTTAAAAAATATTTTTGGTGGAAATCCTTAAAGCACACAACAGTGGGGCTCAAACAACAGATACAACATTGTTTTATTTTATTGCAAGTGAGATATTTGTCTTCTCTTTATTGTGAGGAAATTTGGTGCATTTGACAAAAATAGTAGATAGTATAAACTGTATGTTTTCTTTACACTGACATTTGCACATAATAAAAAGAAATATGTCTGGAATTTTGTTGCTATAGTTGTATAGTTTTTTCCTCTTTGCCATAGAGCTCCATTGTAGTACACAACTATTAAATCGAGTCATTCCATATACAACGGATTGGTGCTGTAAAATACTCACTAGAGGAGCAAATTCACAGCTTAAAATATAAAATATTTTTACTCTTGTTTGAGCATCGTTTGCCAATAATAACAAATTTAGTTGTTGTAACATGTTGAGACAGACTACCACACTGTCTATTCTTTATGGAATTTGTGGACAAAAAAATAAATAATACTGCCAGCATTATGCGCCATTAACATAACATTTAATGACAATGTAAGTTTAGACAACTACATTTTCTAATCTCATGCCTAACTAGCACATGTACTCTATATGCATGAAAAAAATAGTTCACAGTAATGTGACCTCCAGATCATGAACAAGTACATATCTCGAGTGCATATTCAAGGTCAAAGTGTGAAAAGCAACAAGTCCAAGTGAGACATGAGCTTCCTGACTGTAGGGCAGCAAAACTAATGTTGCACTCATAACAAGATGCTTAAAGGCAGCGATCCCAACATAAGATCTCTTGGTAATGAGATATAAAATGATATTTCATCAGTTTTCCCATGCTTGAGGTTTTTCCGGCCATGCACATCCGCTGTCCTTTATCTATCCTTCAATCATCCAGGACTCTCTCCCCCTTTTCAGCCTGTTATCTTTTTCTCCCACTCATTTCACCCAGAACACTTTCCTTTCTTTCATCCTCTATCCATCTGCTTCCTATTCCTCCCACCTCTCTTCTTCCTCCTCTTCCTCCCTCTGCCTCTCTCTGTCTTTTGGACATTTCTCTTAGTCCTTTCTATATCCCTCCACCCCCCTTTCCCCCCCTCTTTCCCCTGTGATGAATGAGTCTGTCTGCTGGGTGCAGTTCATATTTACTGAGCAGGGGAGCGCACACTGTCAGTCTCTCTCGCCCTCCACATCTCTATCCCTCCACTAAAGAGACAGAGAGAGCAAGAGGTTACAGTGTGATGGGAGGAGGAGGGAGGCCGTGGTCAAGAGATCCACTCCAGGAGTCACCACGATAGCAGCTAGCTTGGTGGAGAACACATCAGTCTTGACCAGTATAGTTCCTCAGTGCTAACATTAGAGGTTGTTGAGGGAGAGAAATTTTCCTTACCTCTTGACCAACCTGTCAATGTGGTGATACTAATAGGGAATAAACAGCGTCTTTCCATCCCTTTGTGTGTAACTCGGCAGCCCACTCTCAGCACTCAATGCAACACAATTTAATGGCGTTTTCTCTCTCCTTCCTTTGTGTGAGCCATGCTTTTAGGCACATTTGGACTTGAGAGGGAGAGAATGTAAGAGCCGCTACCAGCTGCAGCTTACCAAAGGCCCACAAAATACCCAGTTTCATCTACACCCACACACACTAGTGTGTTGCGGGGAGTCAAACGGTGTGTTTTGACCCGTGTGTTGACCCCTTCATGAATAAGAGGAGTGGATGTGGGCCTGCCGGAGCCCAAAGGGACAGGCCAAGAGCCGCTGCAAAGCCCTGCAGAGCCACCATCTCTTCCCACACACTGACCTCCGAGGCCAGCCAACACCAAAACCACCGTAGCGTGACGACACCAGTGACACCCAGCGCCAACGCACACAATGTGTTCCTCTGCCAAATTGACAAAATATAGACAGTAAATACAAGGAAAATTGGATAGCTCAAATTACATCACAAAAAGAAAATCCCCTCAACTGGACTTTTATAAGATTCAGTATGGGGTAATTTAATTCTCAGACTGCAACCTAAAACACTAGCAACTGTCTGTCACAGGGGGCAGATTGAAAATATATTTGCCATTTGATTTTGGGACAGGGAAGGCTGAGTGAATGTAAGATTTTATGTTTCGATTTGTGGATGATTTGCAGTAGACTCTCAACCATCGTAGTGTATCTATATCAGCGCTGATTAAACGTAATGTCACTGTAAACATTCATATCGTGTAGCTCCATGTCAGAATCTAAAGAGGAGAGTGAAAGAAAATCAGGGGAAAATAGGAGCAGGAGGGAAAAGAGTGGAATGCTGAAAAGAGGAAAGGAAAGCATCATGCCATAATCATCTGAATATTAGGGAAAATTGGACACAGGAATGGCGAAAATTGGATATGGGAAAGATTTCTGAGGAGCAGAGAAAAGCCTGAATGCATCAAATGTGGAAACAATGACCGGTATCAAAACGGATGAAACAAATGTAGGCCTCTCTGGATAAATCACTGCTGTAAAATATCCTTTAGGAGGTTCTAAAAGCCATCGTCTGCTGACAAATGACAGGGTCAGAGGTCTTACAGAGGGAGGACTATGCGCTGGAACAACACTGTTTATGATGGAGGAGGAGGTATGATGTTGCTTTACAATAGGACATAAAACATATTTTCTATATGCAATACTGAACCACATCATACTTAGAACAAATTGCCCGAACTTCTGAGTGAGAAACATTTCCTGAGCTCACCTTTTCCCTGAAGTATCCTTTTCCACAGCTATCCATTTCCCCCTGGTGCCTCAAGAGAGGAACTACTGCTGTTTCTCTGCGGCCTTACAGGGAGAATTCATCGGCCAACTCATCTGTTTTAAAGCTGATATAGGCCTCAAACTGTGATGTATCCGGCTATCACCCGCCAGACGATGAGATACACACACACTGCACGGAAAGGGTAAACAGTAACACCTTTATTTGTCAGGATGCATTCTCTGCCGCCCTGTGTTTGTGTGCTGCAGTGTCCCCCCCCTGCACCCACCCTCCTCATCCCCGGATCATATTTGTCCATCTGCCTGCCACGCCGATGGAACATTCCAAAAACGGCTGCTGTGCAATCTATCTCAATTTTCCAAATCTATTAACTTTCTTTGTGTGGCCTGCCTCTCCTCGAGCCCGATCTTTAAAAACCGTGGTTGTTCAACAATTATGATAACTGCAACAGGGGGAATTAGAGAATCCACCCATTCATCTCTCTGCCCCTCCTCCGCACAGACATGACGCGGCTAAATGAAAAATGGACACGCTTTAAGAAGTATTGATTCCAGCTTTAAACAAAGGTACAGTCAATATTATTTACTACTAAATATATCTTTGTTATCTGTGCTGGAGTCGTAGTTACTGCTCTGTCCTTGTAATTGCGGACATAAAAATAATAGACCAATTCCCACTGAATTGACCGAGACAGGTTTGGTTGTGGCCCTTGTCCTAGTGATGCATATCCTGGGTGTAAATGAATGTGTGAGCCAGGTTTTCCTCTGATGACTGCCCTACTAGAGGTAGATATACATTCCGATCCAAACAGGAAATAAAATGCATGAGACACAGTAAGATAAAACATAAAACTGCAATGCATTTCAAAGGTAATCTGAAACAACAAAAAGGCAATTAATCTTCTTTCCATTATTGTTTTCATGCATTTTATTTTAAAGATTGTGCTCTTTGTCATATATATATATATATATATATATATATAGTTTTGGGTTAGTTTTTTCCTAAGATGTTTCCTTCAAGATATTTCTTAAGCCCCTGAGGGTTCTTTTCTCATGTGGCAAATACAAGTTTTTTTTTTTGCTTGTTTGTTTTTTTATTTTTTAAAAAGGTATATTATTTTTTTGTGCTGTTTTTCATATATGCTATCAAAAGACAATTATTAGTATTTTAAATGTATAATGATGTGTAAAAAGTAAGTACTATTGAAAAGGTATGGCTGAAATGCTGCGTATTTTTATTCCTATGCTTGTGGAGTGGACTGCTGCACACTCTTTACAGGAATGAGGCATTTCACCAAAGGTGTGTTCACAGACTGGACTGTGTAGAGTTTCCTGGGTGGAGCAGAAGGGCTGTTTCTTATGAACTGTGAGCTGCATTAAAGTGTGTAAAGTAATAGACAGTTAAGTACTGGAGAGTACTTTGAGGACTGATATCTAGAGGACACTTGTCTAACTATACTATAGTGCTAATCCAGGTGATGATACTTGACATGCTGCTGCAGGAAGCCACACTCAATAAAGGAGGTGTGTGAAGAAGGATGAAACTCAAGAGTCTCCTGCAGAGACAAAGCTGGAGAGACCAGTGAATAACTTGGTATTTAGTGGACTTCAATGTCAGGTAATAAATCATGAATAAATGGTAAAAGACCAGGTAGAGAACACATCCCCCATCCATACATACTCACACTTAAAAAACCACTGATACACCTTTTATCCACGTTTTGCTTGTCTATTTCAGTTTCTTATAAATTCTTTGCTCAGTACTGCACTAGAAAAAATGTGGGTTTTTTTCATGCATACTGCAAATTCTTGCCATTATCACACATATTGATATGCCTGTCAGGACTTAAGCTGGTGTGTTACCTATAAAAAAAACAGCAAAACTTATTAAATACCACTTCTGGTGTATTGCCTAGTACTTGGCTATTTATAAAAATGAAGCAAGGTTTATTTTCAACTCGGAAAAAACAGGCAAAGTTGCTTACCTGCTTTTTATTCAGATGAAACATGAAACCCTTGGGATGCTAAAGTGATCCTCACACGGTTCTCATACCCTGAAGAATTTTTCTGTAATTCAGTTCTGATTTTTAATATGGAGCAACAACGGGAACAGTAGGCGTCTACTGCAGCAAAGACCGGGGAAGAATTTGTATTTTCTTGTCAGTAATAGGTAATCAACCTGGATCCGTGACCTTGCTGTGTCTTCTATCGCTGGCAACCATACAATTTAGTTTTCTTAGTCAAAAAACCTTTCAAAAGCTGAGCATATCACAAGAAATCCATTCTTCCAACTGTCCACACAGTCAATGTTGACTTCATGTTGTACTGAACAAGACAGCGACTTTTTAAACGTGTTTTAAATTTAGTTATCAGTATTACATTATTAAGAATGTTTTAAACAAAGAAGACATCCATGTAAGGTTTATAATCAATGAAAATTGCATCCTCAAAACAAATCTGTACTGGTCCAAGCAAGAAATGAATATTCTAATGAGTAAAAAGTAAGCTTAAGAAACTCTTCAATGAAGCATCTAGCTACACTGAGGAGGATTAGTGAAACATTAGATGTGAGGTGGCTTACTTGTGTTGCCTTTCCACTGCCTCAGCTTGTGGTGTCTCCTCATAGTGTCCAGTTAAGCATGGCTCCATCTCTCCTTTAACAAATGCCTCCAGGCCTTCAAATTCCCAATTCCCAAACTTTGTTACATGGCAGATTTCATGTGTCTCAGGGTCTGCTGGCTCCTCTTTGACTTATTTACAGCTAACATCATTCCAGCTCATGCTCTCCTGTTCATTTTTCAACTCTTCTATACTTTGTGCAATGCAGTTTTTAGTGCATCCTTGTCCTGTTTTTTGTTTTGTTTTTTAGGGCATCCTCATCTTCTTTTTGGAGACCTGATCATTATAATAACTGTCCTTCATTGGGCTGTAAGGTATTCTTTTTGGGCTTTTAATAAATTTGTTTTTCAGAAGAAGATTCCTGCACAGTAATGTTTTCATTTTCAGGCATCTTCTTCTCTTTTTGGTAGTTTGTGGGCTGACAAGATGACTGCCGGCTAAAGATAGTTGTTCCTCATCCCCTGGTACGGTTCCAGTCTGGTCCCCTTTTGAATGAGTGGATCTTCATCTTACCTACCACAAGAGTTCTCTCCTCGGTGTGTGCAGTCTTTTGAGGACGCCGAAGTCCCGTCTTGGCAGACTGGGTCATCTTATTGGCTGCCTTCCTCTTCAGTGTAGAGGAAATATTCTATAGATAAAGAAGGCAGAAGCTGATGCAAGCTTACCAAAACATGCTATTACAACATACTATGCAAAAAGGAAAATAATGTCAATTTTTCATGCTCATTTTCTTTTCATTGCATGCATTTCATTAAGAATAGCAATTTAGCTAGGACTGCATATCTGTCACTCTAATATCATCAAGTAAATATTTACATTGCTGGCTATGTTTGAATAGAAGTTATGTGCAAACACACTGAGGCTGTTGCTATGTCATTATCTTATCAGTAGTTGAAACAAATTTAAACCAAATGTGGTTTGGAAATAATAATCACCCTCTCCTCCCCACACCATTTCCTCCTTGATGCCTCTTGTAGATATGACCTAAATGCCACTAGAGGTCTCTGTATCTAAGTTTCTTATCTTCATCTTACTGCAAGCTGCCTTACATGTCACAGATTGTTCTGTTTACTAATGCTGAGATCATGATAAAGTCTCTACAAGATGCATCATACGTAGTCACAAAGGCCGCTCTCCAGTAAGTGTGAATTAAAATGAAAATGTGTCAGTTCCCTTCAATTTATTTTAAATACAGAGAAGGTTATTGATTAAATGACAAAGTGAAGAGGCCAATTCACAGTAAACATGTGATGTTTGACCACCAAATACACACAAAGAAAACCCAGACATGTTTATTAATAAAGCATGTGAATTATATATATTTTTTATTATATTTATAATTCTGAAAACTGTGAGTAACATTGAGAGCATATGAAAACTGTAACACATAACGTTACTTGGCCAATAAAGCAGATACTGCTATGTTAAAGATATTTGTCCTCCTTCATTAGTAAAAAACTGTTTTGTATGGGTTGACTGAAAAGAACCAATTTTAAGTTATTCGATTCTGTAGAAAGGGTATGTTAAAATCATGTCAGTCATGTAAAACTGATGAGAATAAAAGTAGTAAGACATAATGTGCTGAATTTCATTTGCCATTGAAGTGTGAACTGTAAAAGCCATTGAAAAACAACATTTGAAGAAGGATACGAGAAAACTCAACTTACCGGTGCGACTGCATTTTGGCATTTCTTGAATGGCGCTTCGGTCGGAGTTTAAACCAATATCCTGCAGTGTTTTCGGCGTACATAGCTACTCTTTAAAACCTAAACTCGACTCCACACGGCACCGCTCATCCTCCACCGGCGTTATATTCATAGACATAAATACATTTATTTAAATCCATGGTTCTAACGGCCAAATGACGCAGCAACTTGTTAGCTAAGGTATGTTCAGCCCTACTACGAGCTTTATCTCAGTGAAGTTACTCAGTATGGTCCCGCCTGCTTGTGTATACCAGGTTATAAATGTTTGAACATCTTTACACCCAAAACTCACTCTTTTTCACTCTGAATTTGACGAATTACGTGTAAACGTTAGGCGTTAAACTGACTGTGTCGCTACTTTCACGTTCGAGAACTGCCCGCTAAAAATAGGGTTAGGCATGTTTTCAACGCGCTTCTGCCTCCCGCGGGCGGAGCTTCTTCCATACGCACATTGAACGCAAAGGACAGGGTGATTCGTCCCGCCCATCGTTCCGCCGGTGTACACTGTGCCTTGAATCAACGCTCAGTTAACAGCAGTGTAAATAGAGCAGAACAGCACGGCAACTTTAAGCGTTGAGTCGGAAGTTGCGCTGTTGTGATTTCTGGATATGTCATATGTAACAATACGACTTAAATGAGTACAAAATATCACATAAGGACTACCTCCCTACCGCAAATAATTGACATTTTGTTCTATTCAATTACAATTGCTATACACTCAAGATAGGAAACCAATTTAATGCAGAATAAGTCGTTTTATTAACTAAATTCATAGCTGGAAGACCAACAAAAGACAAAAATTCTGTTTATTGTAAAGGGGTTCACGATTCAGACAGTAAAACTATTAAATTAAAATTATTAATCCTGCTCCTCAGACCTAGCCTCTAGAGTAGGCTTTCTTTTTTTAAGAAAAACAACAAGAACCATCTATTACATGACATTATATTGTCTCAAATAATATGGCCTCTCCCAGAGACATAACACACAGTAACATCACACATAGTGTTCATGCATTCATCAAATAATTTATTACAATTGTATTTACAAATAATACAGAATTGTTCTGTGGGGAAAAACAATCCATTAAATAAATGTCCCACTTAACTCTGCCTGATACAAACACCCGTTATAATAGTGTCTACCCTGAAAAAAAATTCATACAAGGCCCGGTTTAGTGCTGTAAAAATGTTCCATGCAGTGTGAGTTATGTGTTCAATTTATTTTTCATACTTTAAATAAGTTAAAACAGTCATCTGAGTGGTTACAGAAAGTTCATATAAATAATTATATACAGATATGAGTTATGACACATTCATCAACAAAAATCTAGTATAATATATACAGCTCCAATAAATACCACTTTAAATCCAGCCCAGCTTATTTACAGTCCTCTCAAGTCAGCGACATTTAGCCACATGCCCAGACAGATGGTGAGAGCGAGCGAACCTGCGGAGGCAGTTGGGGCAGGAATATGGCTTCTCCCCTGTGTGAGTTAACATGTGAGTTTTCAAATGGCCTGACAAGCGAAAACTTTTCCCACACTCTTGACACGTGTATGGACGCAGGTTAGTGTGACTCCTCCTGTGCTTACCCAGATCACCAGAGGAGGTGTAACAGCGGTGGCAGTCTGGACATTCAAAGGGTTTTTCCCCAGAGTGTATCCTCTTATGTTTCACCAGGTCGCCAGACTGAGTGAAACTCTTGTCACATTCAGTGCATTTGTATGGTCTCTCACCAGTGTGGGTACGCTGGTGGTTCCGCAGGTGTGAAAGGCGAATGAACCTATTACCGCAGACTGTGCAGTGGTAAGGCCTTTCTCCGGTGTGTGTCCGCAGGTGTATTTTCAAAGCCCCAATATCTCCGATCTTCAGCCCACAGTCCCCGCACTGGTGAGCTTTCTCATTGGTGTGAACTTTGGAGTGAACCCTCAGGTTTCTCTGGGTGTTAAAATTCTTACCGCACACATTGCAGTGAAAGGGTTTCTCACTGGAGTGTGTCCTCAGGTGGAGATCAAGACTTGACTTAAATCCAAACTCCTTTCCACATTCGGAGCAACAGTATTCCTTCTTGCCCGAGTGTGTGGTTAAGTGGCACTTGAGGTGGTGTGCTCTTAAAAAGGCCTTCCCGCACACTTGACATTTGTGCGGCTTCTCCCCTATGTGTATTTTCATGTGTTGACGCCAACCACTGCGCTCCACGAACCTCCTGCCACAATCCTTGCATACGAACGGCCGGTCACCCGTGTGGGTGCGCATGTGATCCTCCAGGCTTTGGGGTGTGCATAGCTTTTTGCCACATTCAGGACACTCCACACCAGTGTCCAGGCATATTGGCTTATCCTCAGGTTCTGTGTTATCCGGTTCATGACACAAATGAGGACCTTGACCCCAGGTAGCTTTGAAGCTCTTCCCACAGTCGGCGCAGCTGAGATGCCCTCCTCTGGTAACCACAGACATGTTGTGCCAGCGCTGGCAGTGATTTTTCAGGTTCTTCAGGTACTGGAAGCTGCGTGCACAGGTCGGACACGGGTGGAGCCTGCGGGGAGGGGCAGAAGGGTGGGCTTCACGTACATGGACCCTAAGGTGTACTTTAGAGTTAAAGGTGCTGCCGCAGACAGTGCAGGAGTGTTTGGGGATGAGATTTAGTGTGTGGCTTGAGAGGCATTTTTTTAGCTTGGCAAGATACTGTTTCTGATGGACCCACTTGACATGCTTCTCCAAGAAGTCCAAGTCAGTAAAAGAGACAGAGCAGTGAGGACATGGAAAGAAATCAGACGATGACTCTAAGTAGGAGAGGAAGACACACACAGAAAGCACATCACATTAAAAAAGGCAAGAATTTATGATTCACTTTACGTTATACTGACAATCTAAAATATACTGATTTAAAGTTATGAGATACAAAGTAAGGCTATTGTAGATACTAGAAATCCACTTTTTTAGGGCCTCTATGATATTCAAACTGTTCCCACCACATCATCCAGCAGTAGGATGCCCAAGCAAAGAGGGTAAATATAAGTGCAGGTGCTTTCAACATGCCATTCCTAAGATAAAACATACTAGTTTAATATATAAAAATATATTTTTGCTAAGAAATGGCTACATATGATACCCTGCCATTGCATTAGTACAACCAAAAATAAAAATCACCATGCTTTAGAATTGTACTTGGAATAGAGTGAGAGAATAAACACAATCAAAGCCAGTAATACCCAGGGCTTGTGTGTTTTTCCTAAACTACTGCCTCCTACCTGTGCACACCTCCTCTCCCTCCTCTTCGCTGCCTCTCTCCTCTTTAATCCACGACTCTGACTCCTCCTTGACAGCAGCTTCAGTGAATTCATATTCTGGCTGATCAGAGTCACACTCCTCCTTTATGTGTGCCTGCTGATGGTGAACATCTGACCAGGATGTCACAGTGTCAGGCTTAGTGTCTGAACAGCTGGATGAGTCTCCACTGTGCTCCCCACTGATCTCCCGTGTATGTGGTTCCTCCTTGATTAGGATGTTCAGATCATCACCATTAGTGTACACTTCCTCTAATTCAGATTCAGTTTTAACTACGACCACATCGTGTTGTTTCTCTCCGGTCTTTGTTATGTTTAGCAAAGACTTGTTCTTGGCAGATTTCATCTTCATGTTGTCACCATTAGGAGCTCGTCTTTTTAGTGTGCTGTGGAGCAGAGGAACACATTATTGAGGTGCGACATACAAGTCAATGTAATCAATATAAAAACATAAACAAGCGGTTATCTTTCTGCAGGGTGACCAAATGAGAGCTGGTGAAATTTGGGACAGAGGGGTTGGGCGTGGTCATGTGGCGACATATTTGTATTTGTTTGATATGATATCAAGCACAGTGTCGTACTGTGTTTACAAG